AATGTAAGATTTTTGTGTCTTTGCTTATACTTTTAAATGATTGACTTAGTCTTAAATTTTTAAATGTGGCAGTTATACTCACACTATTACCACAAAACCCAGTTAGATAGTTATTTAAGTGCATTTACTCATGAAATAAATTACAAGAGTAGATGTTTTGGTCACCAAATATATTTTTGCACCTCATTTGTGTTCTGATCTTTGGAACCTCCATATCCAATAATTGTAGAGTGTGGCTTCATCAAGAATTAAGAGCATAGACTCTCCAACCAGACTGCCTGAGTTCAAATCCTGGTGCCAGCCCTTCTAGCTGATTTTGGACAGATTACTTAGACCTTCTCTGCCTCAGGGTTCTGAAATCATATTACCTACCACAAAGGGATATTATAAAGATTGAGTTAATATTTGAAAAGCATATAGTAGCCCTAGCTGGTTTGGTTCACTGGATAGAGTGTCGGCCTTTGGACTGAAGGGTCCCAGGTTTGATTCTGGTCAAGGGCATGTACCTTGGTTGCAGGCACATCCCCAGTAGAGGGTGTGCAGGAGGCAGCTGATCGATGCTTCCCTCTCATCGATGTTTCTCTCTATCCCTCCTCTCCCTTCCTCTCTGTAAAAAATCAATAAAATATAATTTAAAAAAAGAAAAAGAAAAAGAAAAGCATATAGTACCTGACACATAGTAATATCTGAATATGTGCTTGATACATTCAGTGGATTTTAATAATTGTGGAGTATTTCGTTCAATTTGTCATAATTATATCATACTTTGCATTTTTAGCATGTCGTAGGATTATTTCACAAGGAAGATGACTTTTGCCATTTTATTTTACTACTTTTGAGAAGATATCCATCAGAGTCAGAAGGTAGCCATAATAGGATATTTTCTTTAGTTTTATAATCTAATATTACTGTTTAAAAAAATGCTGTTACTGGAAGTCCTAGCCAGTATAACATGGCAAAACAAAACAGAGAACAATGAAAGAACACAAAAGACATTCACATTAGAGAGGAAAAAATAAAATAATTTCTAGTTGCAGATGACATGGTTGTCTTTGTAGAAAATCCCAAAGCATGTCCCCACCCCTCAAAAAGCCCCTGGAACTAATAGTGAGTTTAAGTGAAGTCTCAGGATACAAGGTCAATATACAAAAATCAACTGTGTTTTAATATACTAGCAATGAACAATTGGGTTTGAAATTTTAAAAAGAGAAACATCTAGAATAGCACCAAAACCCTCCACAAAACCCACTTAGGCACAATTTTAACGAAATATGTGCAAGAACTGTACATTAAACTTAAAAAAATATATGGATGAAAGAAAGGAGGCCTGAATAAATGGAGAGATATGCCATACTCATGGTTTGAAAGACTCAATATTGTTAAGATGTCAGTTTTTCTCAAAATGATCTAAGGATTCAGCACAATCTCAGTCAGGATCCCAGGAGGATTTTTTTGTAGCTATTAACTGATAACTCTCAGCTACCAACTGACTGTAAAATGTACACAGGAAAGCAAATATAAGTATAATACCTAAGACAGTTTTGAAAACAGAAGAATAGAGTTCAAGGACTCATAGTGCATCATTTCAATACTTACCATCTCTCTATATGTATAAAAGGCTAAGTGATCGACCGTCCGACCAATCAACTGACCGGCTGGTACATATGATGCACACTGGGAATTTAAAAATAAATGTTGAATCAAGCAACATTATAAATACAACATTATGTATAAAGCTCTCGCTGGCACCAATCACAAGTGTGTTTTAATTTTATAATACTATATTATATATACTATTTTGACATGTAATTTTATGTAGTAATGTAATTACCATACGAATCTTTCTTCTAATTAATTTCCTTTCAATGTGCACGAATCTGTGCAATGGGCCACTAGTAAAGCTATAATAATCAAAGCAGTTTAGTATTATCAAAGTTAGACACATAGATCCATGGAACAGAATAGAAAATACAAAAATAGAACCATACAAACATAGCCATTGAATTAGAGAGAATCTTTTTTTTTTTTAATATATTTTATTGATTTTTTACAGAGAGGAAGGGAGAGAGATAGAGAGTTAGAAACATCGATGAGAGAGAAACATCGATCAGCTGCCTCCTGCGCATCTCCCACTGGGGATGTGCCCGCAACCCAGGTACATGCCCTTGACCAGAATTGAACCTGGGACCTTTCAGTCCGCAGGCCGACGCTCTATCCACTGAGCCAAACCGGTTTTGGCTAGAGAGAATCTTTACAACAAATATGAAACTTGACCTGTACCTCCCACCATTACAAAAATTGACTCAAAATGGATCATAGTTTTATGTTTTATTTTAGCATCAAATTCCGTGAGTCAGATTTCTGCAAATAACACCCCCCCCCCCCCCGCCCACGCACACATACCTCGTCACTATTTTAACTTAGCTGGTATTTTTCTTTGCATGGCTCTCATTTGTTTTTCATCAGCTCCTGTTTTATTTGGTTTCTTCCTACCCCATTTTATATTGCCTCTTGTTTTTAAAATGCTGTGACTAACTGAGTGGCTGGCATCTGTGGGAGGAGGAAACCAGTGTGGTTGTGGGAGGCAGTTGAGGGATGGATGGGTTAAAGTGACTAATTTTTTTAATGTGTTGATTTTTGAAGTAGAAATGTTGAGGACCCCTAAAGAAAATTCTTTATTTGTATTAAAGAGCCCTTAAGTCATTTTAAACTTTGGAAAAATCTTTTGAAGCTCCTTTGACCTGTCTTCCTTTTTCATAACCTCACTAAATCTTCTATGTCTTTAGCTTCCATTTCATCTGATTTATCTCTCTTTCACAGAATGTGAATTCAAATTTCACACTCATTAGGTAACACTGATTCTGCACCAAAGAGTCTGCATTATTTTTATGCTGTACTTTGGTTTTACATTCAGTTGTTCTCTTTATATTTGGTGGGTTCCTAGATTTTAAAAGTAATACTCAAAATAGAAACTATAAAAAATATAAAAGGAATAAAAAAGAAAAAATAATTCATAATCCCATTACACAGCTATTATTACAGTTTATATTTTGATGTATAACTTTCTAGACATTGTTTACTCCAAATGTCTATGTACACATGTACACATAGAATGTATATTAAAATGTATATTTTATACTTTAATGAATATTCTACACATTATAATGTATATATTATAATATTTTTACTTAAGATAGCTTGAATTTATCCCCATTGCTAAATATTCTTTTGCAATATAGTTTTCAATGGTTATATAATATGACATCTGAATCTATCTAACCATTTTCTTATTAGTTGATATTTTTAAGAATTTTTCATTTATTTGTAAAAAATATGTCATTGGGTATACTTACAAATAAATCTGCCACATTTATAGGAATTTTCTCAGGGTAAATTTTTAGGAGTGGAAATATTGGGTCAAAAGTGTGCATAATCTGAAGGATTTAAGTCTAGAAAGTTTACATTTCCCCTGGACATGTAAGAAAGAGTCATTTCTCTACCACCTATTGGGCATCTTGAAATATCTTTGGTCACTTGTTAATAAAAAATTTGGCACTTTATTGTGGCATAATGTGCATTTATTTATTTTCCGCTTTAATTATACTTCTGTAAATTTTCCTGCCTATGTTTTTGCCCAATTTTCTATTGTAGTGTTTTTATGGTTGCCTGTTTTAATTGACCAATAATAGATGGCTTATAAAGACATTAGTAATCTATTACATATTGCACATATTTCCTAACAGTATCATCTGTTAAATTTGTTACAAGGTATAGTAACATTTTCATTTTCATTGTGAATGGGATCTGTTTTACTGTTATATTTTCCAAATGCTTATTGTGATTATAAAGGAAACTTATGGTTTTCATAATATATTTGTATTTGATACCTTATTGGATTATATTATTACTTACAATAGTTATTTGGTTGATTCTTTTGAGGTTGTTTGGTTGACATCTGCAAATAATGACAATTGTGTATTTTACTTTATGGAATTATACCTCCTTTACTTTGTTAAATCTTATTCCATTAATAAGGATTTTTAGAAAGTCAACTAGTAGTGGGAATAGTTGATAATCTTGTCCTTTTCCTGATTTTCATGAGAATGCCTATATGTACAAAGTTGGCAGGTTTATGAAACATGTATTATTCTTCATGTTAAAGATGTGACCTAATTTTTTAGCTTGTAATTATTTTTAATGATAAATAGATTTTGAATTTTAATCAAAGCACTTGGGGCATCTGTGGGGATGCTGATGATTTTTTTTTCCATTGAACCACCCTTGCATTCTCAAAGTAAATTTTAAAGTAATGATTTAGTGTTCTTATAGTGTAATACTTGGTGAATTTTGTTCATTTTTCTTTCATACCTTTGTGTATACATGAATTTAAGGCTAATCTGAATTTCATATCTGTGACATTAATATCAATTTTTGGTATCAGGTTAATACTACCTGGGTGTTAGGCATTTCTGAGCTTTGGAAGAATTTGTATATGTGGTTATATTTTCTTTCTTAGTCATAATTTTCTGTACCTTTGCTTTCCATTTTTCTTGATTTATACTTGCTATGGGCATGCTAGATATTAAAACACATCTCTGGATTAATTCCCAATCTTACCTATTTGCTTTTTAAAATCTCATTTTATAGTTATTACTTATTGCTGCTTCCTATGGATCTGCTTCTGCAACCTTAGTTAACCTGTTTTAATGTTGACATTTAACAAAGAACAGCCCCACTTCTGACCATTGCAAACTCTCCTTAGTTTTCAGTAATTATAATCATCCATTTCTTGTGTTTTTTTTTTTTTTTTTTTTTTAAAGGCAGTTTGGCTACTTTTTATAAAACCGCTTCCGGGTAGAATTGCAAATTCAAAATTTAGTGGTAAATGCAGAGGGAAAAATCCCTATCATTTCTTCATTTACTAAGTTATTGAAACCAAAATGTGCTTCTTGGGCATTACTTAGGTGTCATCTTTGGGGGACTTTGTTTTCTGTTTGCAGATATTGCTGTGGTGGAGATGAGTGATGCCTTCCGGCAGCCGTCCTTGTTCTACCACCTTGGAGTGAGAGAAAGTTTCAGCATGGCCAACAACATCATCCTCTACTGTGATGCCAACTCAAACTCTCTGCAGTCACTGAAGGTACCTCACTTGTTTACTAAATAGTTACTTTAGGCACCAGAGTTTTAGGGGTACCCCTCTATCATCCAAGAAAATTTAAGTAGCTTATTTTGTGAAAGGATGTTTTTGTCAGTTAGCTAAGTTGTGAAGTTTATATAGAATTCAATGTAGAAACTTGATGGTACACAGGTAGGAAAAAACTTAATGTTGAGGTCTGAGCTCCAGTTAGAGTCACACCTGAGTAGACTGTGTTAATAGGAAGTCAGTACATGCACTGGAGGAAGACAAAGAGTTTGCATAAGGTATGGTCAAGCCTCATGCTTGTCACCATTGGGGGTTTTGTGGGGCACAGCTGCCTCCAACTAGAAATACTATGCTACCTACTGAAAGTACTCTAGAAATTCTGTGAGTATCACTAGAAAATTGACATCCTCTTTCACAGGGATATGACTTCAATTAAGATTAAAAAGGGGGAATAACAACTCACTGTATTTGTCTACAAAATTCAATGTATCTCCTCATTCTCTCCATTATAGGAATTTAATGATATGAGGGTATATCCTCCATCCAAAAAGATTGCCTGAAATGCTTTTGCAAGGCCAAAAAATTTTACACTGTGTGATTCGTTGAAAAGCATCTAACAGTTCAGTGAAACTTGTGCTGAGCCTCATATTATCATTTCCTTTGTGAAACTTCTGGCTTGCTTCATGTGCATTTTTTCATCTATATCTTTCAGTTCCCAAATCAAAGCCAGCCGTGGTATGTGGAGCCCTAAAACCCAGAGCCATATTCCTAATGGCCTAGTAATTGTTATATAAGATCTCTATCCCCAAATCCATGCAAAAAAAGTAATAGTATTTTGCTTTTATGTGAGTATCTAAAGCTTGTATGTCTTTCTCTAAAAAATCTTCAGTTTCTTTTAGTAAATACATTGACTAGACACCAAGCATTTGTGCTGGGCATTGATAGATTATCCCCTTTCAGAATACTCTGATTACTCCTATAAGATTTATCCCTACTCTGCCTAAATCTCTTTTTTACCTGGAACAATTCTTTAAGAACCCTGACTTAATTTTACCCTAGTTTTACTACTTCAATTAATACATTTTAAAGTTTTGTGATGGTGTATTTTGCATTATACATAAATTGACTTGCTACTATTTACAACATATATTGCAGTTGATGAAGTAAGATTATTTTATGTAATATTTTATTCAATATTTTTGCAATATTTTAAGCAGGCAGTATTTTATTAGACATTTTCACTCTACACTATTTTTATTCTTGCCCTACTGATATCTGGTGATTATTTTATGACCATTCTTTACTTAGGGAAATTTTTTAAGTGAATTAAAATGAAATTTGAGAGAAAGAGATAAAGCTAATCTTATCAGAAATTTGTATGGGACAACTAAACTGACTTATTGCATTGCTTTCAGCTAGACTTTGTACAGAGGTGTTAGTGCCATTTTAATAAAATAATTCTTTAAAAGGCTAAGCTATCTAAAACATACTTATGTGATTTGTACATAATAGCTGCTTGTTACTAAGCACTTACTATGGGCTAAGTACCAAGTGCTTTATCTGCATACATTTTCACAGTAAATTCTTAAAATATGCCTGTGAGGTATATATTCTGTCACCATTTTATGAAATTGCAAATTGAGGCTCATACAAACTCCATCATTTGCCCAAGATGATATAGCTAGCAAAATTAGGGACCAGGTAGTGTGGCTACAAAGCCCATCCTCCTTAACCACTCAACTTTACTACAGTTACTTCTAGTTAGAAGGATATCAGACGTTGCTGCTAAGTGTTTGTTTCAAATAGCCCATCAACTATGTCCCCTGCATTCCATGCAAAACCTTCTTTCTTTCCTCATCTTCCTTCATTAATTTAAGCTTCTGTTTTTTTGTGTGTGTTTTTTTTAATTTAGCTTGTTCCTAGCTCAAATGGGTGCCTGATGGCAGAGGACAAATGGGTGTCTGATTCCAGAGTGTTCTTAAACCCATAACAATTTTTATTTTGCTCTTACATTATGACTTCCTTTTCTTAAAGTTTTATCTCCTTTACCAAGGTAAATAGCTAAGATGAATTTAGTTTTAGATTGAATTTAGTATATGAAATTAAAATTTATATTTTTTCTAAGGATTTGATTATTTTACTTTAACAATTACTTTTTACTACATTCTTTTCAATATTTGAAAATAACACCTAACCTGGTCAGTGGTACAAAGTATATGGTAAATGTTAGGAGACACGGTAATTTGAAAATATGATCCTGTGAAGTAGTGTAACAATTTGTGCACCAGAAGCACTGGCCCTGCCCCTTTTAACAGTGCTGCCTCTGGACATTCCCGCAAGTGCCTGCTCACTTGATGACCCACCATTGACTTGTAAACCATGGACCTCTGTACTCTCTCAACCCTGTTCAGCATCGTCATCACATACATTTCCTCTTACTGTTTCATGGAAAGTTTTTTCCATTCCGCTGAGAGAAAAAACAAACAGTCTTGTTCTTTTATTTTACTTATTTCAGAAATGATTCAACTTTCTTCTGAGCTACTTGACATTCATGTCCATTTGGGGAAAGAGGTAATTTGGGGGAGGAGCTGGTAGGTTATACATGTGAGCACGGCTGTATCAAGGTTTTCTCTGACCATCTTGAATTGACAAACCAGATGATTTATGTAGAGGAAGTGACTTCCCAGTTGTAGAATCCATCCCCGAGGTTTTGGAAAGGGCTTGGGACTGGAGAATCCAGTTTTCTTTCATGTCAATGAGTAATACTACATCTTCTAAGCAATTGTTACTGGATAAGGTATGCCCTTGTTGTCCTAATTGCTCTTTTACCTCCCTATCCCCCCACCCCAGCTCACTGTTTGTAGCATCTTATTACCATTGTCAAAGGGAGCGCTGTGCTACCCTGTAAATGGAAGAGGTCATCCTATCACTGGGTTAACACCAGAAATTTTTTTCATGTGTAGAGGCTTTCATCACAGGCCCATGCGTTTGAATACCTTAAAGAGCAGGAAGGAATACCTCTGCACACAGAAAATGAGAGTCAGAACGCCTCCTGACTCCCAACCAAATGGAGCAACAGTTGCTGAATTCTATCCCCTTTCATTTATTGTAAATTAATGATTCTTTCATTGGAAGTTGATTTTTGTGGCACTCCAACCCATCATCCTATTTGAGTCATTTTAGAATGCACCCTTGAAATTATTATTGAAATTTATGTGTAAAATGTAATTTATTATACAGAAATTCATTATACCTATAACTTCTCAACAATTCAGTTGTTTTTATTAAAAAAGAAATACCTGTACTTGAATTAGATGGTCCAGTTAGGCGTTGCTGAAAGAAACAGCTGGTGTCAAAGAAGAGGAAGTTAATTACAATTATTGCAACACATTATAAGGAGAAGTTCTTGTTAAGGAGCTATTTCAAATGCTGTGTGTATAAAAATGTCACTCATCAGCATCCCAACCCAGTTTAAAGACATGTTTCTACTTACAGTAGAGTTCTCCCACCAAGATACATTTATTAAACAAGAAACAGAATTAAGAGGAAGGCCAGCCAGCATGGTTCAGTGGTTGAGCTTCAACCTATGAACCAGGAGGTCACGGTTCGATTCCTGGTCAGGGCATATGCACAGGTTGTGGGCTTGATCCCCAGTGTGGGGCATACAGGAGGCAACCTATCACTAATTCTCTCTTATCATTGATGTTTTTATCTCTCTCCTTCTCCCTTCCTCTCTGAAATCAATCAAAATATATTTTTTAAAAAAATTGAGGGAAGAAGACTAAAATTTCTTTTAGGATTACTTTCCAGCTTTGGTGCAATTTAACTTGACTTTTGGTATAGGTTGTTTTAATTGACAGTTGCGTATATCAAGAGAAGGATGTGTTCTTACCCCTGATCACAAAACAACACAGGCACAAATTGTCTCTAGATCTGGAAATACAGGAGTTGAGTTGTGGTTGTTTGCTTTGATAATATTAATACTCATATTGTATACGGCTTTAAAATGCTTGAAATACTTTCATAAGCTTACTTCATTTAGCCTTTAAAAACAACCCAGTGAAACAAAGTTAAGTACTTACCATATAGATGGGACAGATAGAAGATATTTTCTTAACAAATGAGAAATAAACTTAGAGAGATAGAGAGACTTAGGGGCACACACAGCTAATAAATGTCAGAGCAGGGCAAACCCCATGTTCTTGGAGTTGTCCTCAGGGACATTTTCATCTAAGTCTGTCTATAAATTTCATACGTCCTACAGAAATATGATTTTCCAGCTTTTTGTTAGATTATTGAATTGTGTTTTTAACCTTGAGCTTTTATATATGCATAACATGTAAGCACAAATGTAATTAGTTTTTCTTACATAAAAGATGGGCCAGTTCTGTGACACCTGTGTGGGAGTACTCATTCTAAGCCTTCTCAGCTTTATTTTAGCAGCATGGGGAATGGTAAGATGAGTCCCATCTTCTCAGTGAAGCTGAGGGTGTTCACAACAGCCAGTCTGGTATTTCCCTGTCCTCCTTGGAAGTGCTGAAATTAGGAAGAGGATGGAACTGGAGAGCATAAGAAATCTCTCTTTTCCCCCCAACTTTAGTGGAAAAACTGCCACGCTCCTCTGGGATAGAAAGAGGGGTCAGAAGGGAAGACCCAGAAGGTCACCAGCTGGGGGCTATGCTCTTCCCTGGCCAAGAACTCCCAGCGCCTTTCCTTTCTTTCTGAAACCGAGGTCCTGGTTGCTCATTCTGCTTCTCCCACCCAGAGTGGATTTGACTTAGCAACCCCACACCAGCTGTTCCCACTTCCTTCCCTTGGCTGCAATTACCCAAATTTTAGGCACAAACACTTTCCAATTTTGGAGATATTTCATTTATTTATCCTTAAAATGACCTCTTCAAAGTTAAATTGTCCCAGATAGCTATTAAAAGTTGTCTTCATCTCCTCTTGGAATGAGACCTAAACTAGATTTTTTATTTCTCTTGCTTCCTTATTTG